AACGTGTATCCAAGTAGTGTGTAGTAAATTAATGTTTTATGTTTGATTGTTGAGATTTCATGCAAAAACTGCTGACTTCACCCAAAAATAAATTAATCTACTTTTCCCTTTTTAGATCCATAATTACAATAGTTAACAGCAGACATAATTCAGACATTCTGCCCTCACTCCACTTTAGAATAAAAACTCAAATAATGACATTGTATAAAACAACACATTTGTCATTTTCTTGCATAGTTTAGTCAAAGGCTTCATAAAACACACAACATATTCCACTATTATACTTTTTATGTCAAACAATAAAAATGTATCGTTCACAAATAATAATCTTATGGCAAGTTAGGACAAAAGAAGTTGTAAAAGAAGATCGTAAACTTTAAATCATTTACTCGAAAACAAGATTTGTCATGACTCAGTTTGTCTCACGGTGGCGCTGTATGCCAGTATATGAGCCAGGCCTGCGCCGTAGCCACCCATTTTCCAATTCTAATTTTGAATGAGGAAACCTACGACACAAGTATTGCTCTTTACAGTTTCTGTCTACTTGTTTTACGCGTCTGTTCGTTGTTGGCGGGACCATGGTATTTTCTGAAGAAAGCCTGTGCATTTTTATTCATCTTCACGTGGATTGGAGCAGCGTGGGGAGATGTGAGCTACACCATACCAGAGGAAACCAAACAAGGATGGGTCATTGGAAATATAGCAAAAGACCTGGGGCTGAAGAGCGGCGTGTTAAGCCTCAGAAAAGCCCGCATTGACACCGACGGGACGGAGAAACGTTACTTTGACGTAAACGTGGACAGCGGAAATCTGATTGTTGCAGACAGAATTGACCGAGAGGAGCTTTGTGGTGAAAGGGCGTCGTGTGTCGTTAAACGGGAGCTTGTTCTGGAGAGTCCTCTGGAGCTGCACCGAATTAGTGTTCACGTCCAAGATATAAATGACAACGCACCCAAATTTAACGAAGAGCTTATTAATCTAGAAATAAGTGAATCTGCAGACAGGGGGGCTCGTTTTCTGATAGAGGAGGCGCACGATGAGGATGTGGGGCAAAATTCAGTCCAACAATACAGCGTCAACAAAAACGATAACTTTGTGTTAATAACTACAGGAAATACAATAGAGCTGGTTCTTGATAAAGAATTAGATCGTGAAAGACAACAGGAAATTGATTTGATTTTGACAGCTTTTGATGGCGGGTCTCCACAGAGATCAGGGACCGTAGCCATACACGTCACTGTACTGGACGCTAATGATAACGCGCCTGTGTTCAGCCAGGCCGTGTATAAAGCCAGTCTGCCTGAAAACTCCCCTCTAGATACTGTAGTGCTTACTGTTAGTGCGACTGATGCAGATGAAGGCGTCAACGGTGATGTGAGTTATGATTTTGGACGTGTTACTGAAGATGTGAAAAAGGTTTTTAGTTTAAATTCAAAAACTGGAGAAATAAGAGTTATTGGCAACATTGACTTTGAAGCCACAACTTCATTTGAAATACGTGTTAAAGCAAAAGATGGATTAGGATTGTCATCTCATGGAAAAGTTGTCATTTCTGTCACTGATGTCAATGACAATGCTCCTGTTGTGAGTTTAAAATCCCTGTCAGATACAATAGCAGAAAATACCCCTCCTGGTACAGAGGTGGGCATCATTAATGTACAGGACAGAGACTCAGAGAACAACAGACAGGTCCACTGCTCCCTTCAGACTGGGGTCCCTTTCAAGTTAGTACCTTCCATTAAAAACTATTATTCTCTAGTGACCACAGAACAGCTGGACCGTGAGCTAGTGTCTGATTACAACATTACAATCAGTGCCACTGACGAGGGCTCTCCCCCTCTGTCCTCCTCTAAAACTGTCCACTTAACTGTAGCTGACATCAATGACAACCCTCCTGTGTTTGAGGAGCAGTCCTACAGCGCACATGTGACTGAAAACAACAAACCTGGCTCCACTTTATGTTCTGTTGCCGCTCGAGACCCAGACTGGAGACAAAACGGGACAGTGGTTTATTCTCTGTTACCTGGTGAGGTGAATGGGGCCCCAGTGTCCTCCTATGTCTCTGTTAATGGAGACACAGGGGTGATCCATGCTGTGAGGGCTTTTGATTATGAACACTTCAGGAGTTTTAAAGTCCATGTGATGGCCAGAGACAATGGCTCTCCTCCACTCAGCAGCAACGTGACAGTCACTGTGTTTATATCTGATGTGAACGACAACTCTCCTCAAATACTGTACCCCACCCCGGAGGGGAACTCCTTCATGACTGAACTGGTCCCTAAAGCTGCACATGCAGGCTCTCTGGTGTCCAAAGTGATAGCAGTGGACGCAGACTCTGGACAGAACGCCTGGCTGTCCTATCACATCGTCAAATCCACTGATCCTGGACTTTTTACTATTGGTCTCCACAGTGGAGAGATCAGGAGCCAGCGGGACATCTCTGAGTCTGACAGCATGAAACAGAACCTTATTGTGGCAGTGAAGGATAACGGACAGCCTCCTCTCTCTGCCACCTGCTCCATGTATTTACTGATCTCTGATAACTTGGCTGAAGTGCCTGAACTCAAGGACATTTCTTATGATGAGAGGGACTCCAAGCTGACATCCTATCTGATCATTGCACTGGTGTCAGTGTCCACATTTTTCCTCACCTTCATTATTATTGTCCTGGGTGTGAGGTTCTGTCGCAGGAGGAAGCCCAGACTGTTGTTTGATGGAGCAGTTGCAATCCCCAGTGGTTATCTGCCTCCTAATTATGCAGATGTTGACGGCACAGGAACTTTACGCAGCACTTACAACTATGATGGATACATGACAACTGGATCCAGGACAAGTGACTTTAAGTTTGTCTCGTCCTACAATGACAACACACTGCCTGCAGATCAGACACTGAGGAAAAGCCCCACTGACTTCTCTGATGTTTTTGGAGATTTGGAAGAGTGCTCAGAGGTAGGGAAACTATAATTGTATCAGGATTATAGCTAAAGCTGGACATGAATTTACTGAATTCATAATAATAATTGTTAACATAAAAACTTGTTTGTTAGCTACCATGGTTAACAGATTTTCTAATTTGCACTCTCAATCAAAATAATATTTACATTTGCTTACCTCATGTTATTTTCAAGTTTAAGTTTACTTATAGTGTCTGTGTTGTAATTAATCTTTGATTAAAATTAGGACAAATTGATAATTAAACTTACATTTCACATTCAAATCACTAAAAACAGCACTGGTAAACTGCCCAGATTCCCTTCATGGAAACTGGAATTACCTTTCTTGCATTGTCTGTTTGTGCAAAAGATGGGCTTTTTAGTGGTCCTGAGGCAAGTGTGCCGGAGAGGCCGTTCCCAGAGTGTGTCAGGTCTTGCAGGATGTTGGAGCTGCATATGGGGAGATGTGTGGAGAAGATGTTGTCTTGGTCTGATAAAGAGTAGCTCACCACTGTTGTAGAAAAATGTTGTATAACGGTTGAATGATACTGAAATGGAAGTCTGAGTTCAAGAGTTGTGTTTGTGGTGGATTTTAATGCTTTACAAAATGGGGACAACAAAGAATGGTACAGAGATTTTTCAGCACTGTTCCTGAATTGAGCGTTTTCACACAAGCATTTTATACTGAGAAATGAGAAGTAAAAGATACACATGAGTACAGTAGGAGTACTGTGACAACTGAAGTTACTGTCAGCACTGGGAACAGCACAGAATCTGGTATATCTAAACAATTACACCACCTACTCAGATTTTTTTACTCGCCGCTCATGCCGAGTATCATGGTGATTAGCAATATGTGTTAAGCTGATAGTAACTTCTGGGATAACATATTGCAGAGCAGGCTCCTCATAAAAAAACAAAAAAAACGGTGCCTTTTTTACATGCTTTATGATGAATTCAGTACAATCCTATTAAATTATCTTTAAGCACACAGCAGCAGACATTCATGTACATAAAACACACAAACACTGACAGAAATGCAAAGCAAAGTACTGTCCATAGGTGCATGATAATCACTAGGGAACACATTACTGCAAGTACTTGTTAAACAGTCTGTTCATCACACAGAGAGTTCCAACTGGGCCACCAATTAAACTGACAATTTGAAGAAAGCATTCGTTATTTTTTGTTATGAGTGATATGTAACACAGACTTATGTGAAGCGAGAGCAAAGAGCTTTATTAGGACTAAGCTCAGCTCTCTACTCCCTCTCCACATATTCATTGCCTCAATAATATGATGTCATACTACACACGTTTGTCATGTCACATTTCAGCTGTGAAAAGTAATTACATCGATCACTAATTTTGGAATTTTCTATTTAATGGGATGCAGTTTGACATAGATGATTTGGTGTTGTCATAACTGTCTCAA